ACTATGATAAAGTNCTATCACTAATTTAATTAATTAAATTAATTATCAATTGGCTTGTAAAGAATATGATAAGAGTTTGCTGATTTATTATCATCAAGATAAGCTGCAATAATAACTATGATAAAGTGCTATCATCTAATTTAATTAATTAAATTAAGTATCAATTGGCTTGTAAAGAATATGATAAGAGTTTATTGATTTATTATCATCAAGATAAGCGTAATAATAACTATGATAAAGTGCCATAATCAAACTTAATTAATTAAATTAAAGCACTTAATGATATATGCGGGAAAGAGCGGGATATAACAACATGGAGAATTTCAATAGAAACAAAATTGAATGGTGAACATGGAGCTCGTTTAGCAATTTCATTGACTCCAGAATTAGCACCTGAATCATATCATATCAGGTTTAATGATCTCTCATGAAAATTAGAATTAATTACTTTAATTTAAAAAAAATACCGAAAACAGAAGTATTCTATACGTTTTTTTTTCCTTTCTGTTGTCAATATCGTAAAATTCTGATTCTAAAATTGATTATTTCTTACCTGTAATAAAATAATAAAATTTATACGAGATTGGAAAAACTAATGTTATCGATAATTTCAGAAATGAAAAAGCTTATCGTCTCGGTGAATGGATTCAAATAGCAATTGCATTTAACTCGCATCAACTCTTATTTTACGTGAATGGTGCACGTGTCGGTAAATTGGTACGTGAGGTAACATTTTCCATTCCATTGATAACTGATAACATCATTATCTTCTAGTTAATAAAATACAATTTGATTTGTTTTTAAAAAACCTCAGATTTACATTTATAAAGTTTAAATTTTGAGATTTCAATGTAGTTTTTTTTCAAATTCAAATTTTCAACTTATCAATAATCATTTGTAATTTTCCAAATTATTCAAGAAAATTTTTGCAGTTTGGTGTTCTTTATTCGGAAATTCGGAGTGCATGCAAAAGATTGTATTTGGGAACAGATGGCAATCGATTTAGTCGTGATGAAATTATTGGATTTCGAGGTTACATTGGAAAATTACGCATAACAGATCATTTCATGGATCATTCAGAGCTTATTCGAGAACAATGGCATGGAAATATTATTGAAGAAAATTTTGCAGATATCAATCAGTGGAAATATCTCGGTAAATATCATATCATTAGTATTTCTATCACTACTAAATACTTTGATAATTTACTTATCAAATACTTCTATTTTAAAGATCATTTCCTAAGATTGTACATTTAATAGTAAAGTTTGTTGTGATTATTATTAGGGAGTGATTTGGGTATACGAAAACAAGAAATGTTATGGGAGGATATACCACGAAATATTGAAATACCTCAATGTGGTCAGACAATTTGTGATAATCCAATGGTAGCAAGCAATTATTTGCGCTATTGGAATTTGCATGCTATTAAAAAATTGAAATATCGTGTTGTTGTAATCAGCGATGATGATGGAAGGTAAGATTATTTGTCTTCTTGATATTGAATTGCTAGTTCAATTTTCACATTTTTATTCCTCCTTAAAAGAGGAATTAATTAATTTTTCGAATTAAAGAAACGATAATTACAACTTTGAAATTATTCGTAATTTTATTTCATTTTATATTTTTTGCCTTTATGCTTATTATAATTTATCCAAAAAATTTTGTCACTGAAAAGATTTAATTAAAATTGCAAACATTTGTGATAAATAAACTATTTCTTACGCTTTCGTTAGTGAAATTTATCAAAATTTTAAATTATTTCAATTAATCAAATTATCAATTAATTTTTTCAATTTGCAAAAAAAATTTAAATTTTTTAATTGCAGTAATGTGAATGTAAGGACAGATCCCATTATGCGACAACATGTCGAACTTTTGAAGATTTTTGCATTATATAATATTACGTAAGTTCAAGTATTTTTTAATAAAAAAAAAAAAATCTGTGCAAGCCATTAACTTATATATTATAGATGGGATCTTGAATTGATCAATATTCGCAACACATCATTACGACGTAAAACTATTGTGTTTGGTTGTCAATCATCAGCAATCGGTAATAAACGTTGCGACATCGAATGTCGCCATGCAATTACCGGTGATGATGGTGGTGATTGCAAAATTCAGGTATATCAATTTCATCAAATTATTGGTTTTTTTTTTCCCCCATTCACTAACCATTTGATGAATATATGCTAATGTCTATATGCATTTATAATATTGAAAAGTTTTACCGTATACTCTCGAGATGGATAAAAGTTCTAAAATGAAATCTATCAGAGAACTGAATCATTTTTTTTTCTTATCATTTTGTTCTTTGAACTTTTTGTTTTCTCAAAAAAAAAGAAAAGAAAAACGAATTTTTTGAAATTATTATGCGTATCGTTTCGCTATTTTTGCTATTATTTCATCAAAAGAGTGAACAAATCGTTCAAATCAATGGAATAATTAAGTCTAATTGTGGAAGAGAAAATGAATTTTTACGTTTAAACTTAAAACTATTCGAAGGATAAATGTGAAAAATGGATGCTTGGAAATAAACAATGTGAATTGGAATGTAACAATCGTGAAAATAACTGGGACAAAGGTGACTGTTGCACTGATTTCACCTTCAGTGATAATCACTTCTGTATTGATCCTACTTCAATCTACAGGTTTATTTGTTTGTTTGTGCTGTGAATAGACTTCATTAAGTTTATGTCGAATAATTTGAACGATTAGAGATTAATTTAAAATATGAAATTAAAGCAAACAATTTGAAAACAGAGGGATTTCCTGAAACCGATGCTAGTACCATGAAATGTCTTGCGCTGAATTATTGATCACCAATGATAAGTATGATAAGAGAATAATCCTACTGGTACAATTAAGTGCATTGCTTTAAAAAGAATTTAAGTTAGCCTCAAATTTTGAAAATGTTTTAAAATTCCATTTTAATTTTAAAAAATAAACAAATTTAGACGTTATATAAATGTGGAAGAGTATAAAACAGCAGTTGGAATAGACAATGAGAATGGACTAACAGTACAATTTGGTGATTGGAATGCAAGCGATCTGGTGGGCTTTTCAACGTTTCCATGGGAAAAAGATATTTATAGTAATCAAGGAGGAGTGCTACTTCGTTATGACCGTTTCGGAACACCTGGACAAATTAATAATTTAATTCATGAAATTGGCCATATTCTTGGCCTTTGGCATGTTCATCACGGGATAAGCGAAGTACCATGTAGTGATCCATGTCAGGAGAAAACACCATCTATGGTGACTGGTAATAGCTTTTTTTTTCTTCTTTCATTAAAATTTATTGCATATATTTTTTGAAGGAACTCGGGAAATTTCATTCTAATTAAAAAACTATAAAGCGAATAGTTTGGAAATGTTGTGGCTTGGTTTATTAATATGTGATCTATGATATATATATATGTCTGTATGATCTAAGCAACGAAGTTGTTGCACAGATCATACTTTGAAAGGAATAAAATAAAATGGAACAAGTAGTAGCACAGTACTAACATTAAAAAAAATACTGGGGCTAAGACATTACACGAGGAAAGAAAGGAGAATATGACGATATGACACGATAGTTTATTTACGCAGCCGAGTTATGAAGAAAAATATCAAAACAAATTAGTATATACAAAGATAAGAAAAATATCAAAACAAATTAGTATATACAAAGATAATTAGGTTGTCTAAGCATATACCAAATTTAAGTTTTGATGATAAGACACAATGGATAAAAGGCTTTTACTTCATTATAAAGAGTTATCATCAAAACTTGAATATTAATTATGAAAAGTTAATTATCATCAAACTAGTCTTTTTTTTCAAGTTGCGGCAACTTGAAAATTGGTTCCTTATAACCTAACTTATCCTTATAACCCAACTTATACAGAAGTCACGTAAAGGTGTAAGGGGATATTTTGCGTTAGTACGAATAGATCAAATCTGGTCTCAGTGAGACTATTTACAATCCTTTACGGTAAGAATTTTTAGGCAAGATATGAACTAGTCTTCATTGTAATTTTATAATTAATTGCTCAAGTTCAAGCCACAACCAATAATATTTTTATACTCTTCATGTTACATCAGCAACATCAAAATTTTTTAATAATAATCGCTTGTCAATCTTCATTACCAAACAGGGATAGAACATGATTAATACCTAGTTCTAGAATTTCATTCATGACGAATCTCATTATCATGAATACCTAACATGATTCCGCTTTTTCAAACATAGAACATCGCATTCTATACACAGTTATATCACTGACTTCTAGATCCAACTTTTAACTTTACTTTCCCACTTGAGATATGAGTTTTCCAACGTTATAGTTCAAGCGATCGAAAATACAATTTTTCCACGCAAACGACATACATTATTTATAGCAATATTCGCTCTCCTCTTCACTCTTCTTCCTTGCCCATTCAAAAGGAACATACCACATTTTGGTAAGGTGCAGAACTTTGGAGAGTTCCAGAAACTCTAGTAAGAAACATCGGATGCAAAATTGTCCTCTAGAAATACACCTTTTCGGGATTACATGAGTTACACATCTCGCTTCTTTTTTTTACTTAACACATTTTTCAGGTGATATGGTGAGCGATACGAATCCAACAGTCAAGAATACAGCGTGTGCTGATCCAGAAACAGTGGATCCGTGTGATGCAACTCAACGATTCAGAAATACACCTTTTCGGAATTACATGAGTTACACAGGTGACAAGAGCCATATATGACTGGAACAGTACCTTATATTATTTGAATAATATGAATGGATTCGCCAACATATTGATATAATTACAACTGATCTCAGAAACTTTCGGCCCTTCTATTTCGATATCCGTGTACCTTCTATTTAGAAGATAATTGCGCCAACACATTCACTGCCCAACAAAAAGCAAGAATGCATTGTTATATCGATCTGAAATATACAAATTGGATGGTGCGTCCGACACCAACCCCAAATCATATTGTCGTCGCCCCACGAATCATACCATGGCCAAAAACGAATTCTAAAAGTGTCAAAATTGTTAGTGATTATATTGCTTAAAATGATTACTGAAAATGACCGAGGATAAATATGAATTTATAATCAGCTTTATCTAATCACGACATGGAGAAACAGCTGTAGAAATTAACAAGAAAATCAAAGGAAAGAAACGATGAACATGCTTCCAGAGATTCGTTGACAGAGTTATATTATCTAAAGACGAGCTGTAGAAGACGAATGAACTGCTTAGTATTAATGTGATAGTTGAAAGTAATTAACTTTAATCCTACATAAATCAAGCATATTTTATGATGGAAATATTTAAAGTAGATGAACGAATGTTTGGTGATTTCTTTAGATGTGGGCACCACCATTAAGTAGCATGAATTGCGGTCCACGACAAAAACGTGTGCAAGAAACGCACTGCACTACAGATAGACGTGTCGTACAATATGCTATCTCAGCTAGTTCATCCGAACCATTCCAAATGTCAGGTTTTTGGGGTCCAGAACAAGCTACCGGTAATGTTTCATTTTTTTTAACCAGATTTCACTACTTTTCAATCTGATACTTCTTATTACTGGTAACGAAGGCAGAACACTGCTCCGTTTCCTACCAGGTCTCAGGTTTTTGTGGCACTAACTCAGTCCTTGTAAAATGATAAGCATCTTTTAGCAACTATGAAAACAGTGCGAACCCATTTATTGGATCACATTCTTGTTCACCCCACATAAATTTCTAGTCTTTTCTTACAAATAAAATCGAATAAAGAAAGACCTGCCTGAATAGGACAACGATAATTCAAACAACTGGATCCAAATTGAAACCAAGATCTTCAAGATTCTTGCAATTCTCCATGTCCTTCAATTTATTCACTTTGTTCTTGATCTCTTTTCGAGCTGTTTCAAGTGACACGTCAATAATTTTCATGTCATCTTCAATCATTTGCTTTGCCTGGTCGGTTGTAACCTTGAGAAATGTGGTGCTTCCAAAGCATATCCAATCCTTACTTTTCTGCAAAAGTAAAGGGATGGAAGCTATGCTATTGTACCGATACCCATTCGGTACAGCGTCACGTCAAATAATTTCATCTGAATGATTACAAAATGTCTCCGAGAGAAGCTCACTGCACCAGGTTAAATCACCAGGATGACTAAAAGATGTCTTCGAGAGAAGCTCGCTGCGCCGGTCAACAAATTGAACCATCTTCACCACTCGTTAAATTCTGGTTCTTTTTCTTTTTTTTATAGTTCAGTGGATGGTGAAAGCACTCATCTGAAGGCTCATCTGAAGCTTTTGGAACATTCATCTGGCAGTGCTTCAACCTATGTTATAAATTGCTTAGCTATTTCTCAATGTCAATCGTCCATATTATCAGACAATTTTTAACCCAACGCTCAACGTTATCGATTTTCCATGCAAAAACGGAAATTCATGCTATTAAATAACCTTCTTTGCATTATTTTTTGTTTTATTGCGCAATTGTCTCAATGCTTCGCGACATTTCTGGCGCCGCTCATCCAATTCTATCATCGTTCTCTTGCCCATGATAACACTTTGTCCTAGATTTTCCCATTCGGTCATATTATCTAGCATTTTTTTTGTCGTATCATCCAACGATAAATTTTCCAACATCGCTTCCACCGATTCTTCCATTTCCTGATAAAAATGAAGAAATTCTTATTAATCCTATTCACCTAACAATTTTATCATACAAATAAGCCTGCTTAACAAGAGATTTTAGTCGACATACAATCTTTGTTTCACAATTTTACTGTTAAATGAGTTTATCTGATAAGAAATACTAACCAACAAATAGCCTTATTCGATAAGCAATCCTAAGTAATATTCTCTAAACGATACCCCTAAGCAATATCCCTACTCCAACCAAACATTGAGAAAACTTCAGCAACCCAAACCCTTTCTACGTACAATGGCCCGGCGATGTTTTCTTACTACATACTGCGGCTCGGCCATCGCGAAAAGTCGTCCAGTTGGTTGAACGAAGGATGAGGGAGATCATGCGTAATATAAAAGAACATTACGAGTTTAACGTGTAATACGTAAGGAGCTAACCAAGCTGAACTGTCACTCATAGGACAGTCATTCTATCATGTACTACAGATCAAAAAAAAAAAACTTATCAACAAAGCCAAAAAAATTAAAAAAAAAGTGTCCCATGAAAAAAAATGTCCTTTTTTTTTCTGATGAAACTTGCGGGAAGTTGAGGAATTGATGGAACTTCATTTCATCCAATTCAATATTTTCCAACCGAAAAGAAAGGAAAACTTTGTGAAATTTACAAAGTTAATAAAATCCCATCTAATTTGTTCCTTTTTACTTACAAAAAAGTTTTCGGCATTTGCTTTGTGAGTAAATATCAAATTTTATGAATTTCAAATATCAAATTTGATTTTCCTGACTTTTAAACTTATTCATTTATAGCTAACAGTTAGTGAAATATGTGCAAAAAAGAGAGAGGAAGAGTAGTTTCCGATTATTGTTTGTCATCTATCGGTTGATAATATCAATTTTTCATTTATGTTCATCATTACGGTGAGTAATATTAACGATCTTTTCATAAAACCGATAAGTTGCGTAAAATGATAACAAACTTAAAAAAAAAAATTGCTAAGGAGTACCAGATGCTGAAGTTTGTACTGCATCAACGAAGGCTTGGCTGCCAGATGTGCAAGATTGCGATGATGTAAGCGACAAATGTACATTGAAATTGAAGCCTGATGTTGAAACACAACTGGAAAAGTTGTCCGTATGGTTTGCTTGGAATGCAGCTAGTGGTATACGATTTATTAAAATCCTCTTCACCGATGGTACTTATGATACGTTTGAACAGGTATAGTAAACATTTATCAATTTATGCTTATGGATATGTGGTAAATTTCATCAAATTCAAACTTTAACCAAATAAAAAGTTGGAAATTGCATACTAGATTTCATTTTTTTTTTATAAAAAAGAAAAGAAAAACGTCAAAGTTATTTTACCAAAATTACTTACAAGTGTCCCAGTTAGTCTTTGGTTTCTCCGAAAGATATACGTTGATGTCGTAAAATAAGTGCAAAAGATATGTCCGAAGGCAAAACGATAAGTTTGAGATTTCGAAATTTATCACTTAATAAAATAATATAGCATAGTCACTGCGATCATCAATGGCTTTGATTGGTTTTTTTTAAACTTTTTCAAGCTTTATCTCAGCCAGATATCTTTTCCATTCAGATTTATGCACATTGCGATCAACCGCTAACTTTGCGACTCACTTCGCAGAAACGTGTCAAAGAGGTGAGTTTTACGTTTTATACGTTGAAGAAGCACATATCTTTTACTTATCTCTCACAGATGTTCTGTTGCTTAAATTTTGAATAATTGTCTGGCGAATTATCGTGTCTATCAATTATCTTGATTTCAGGTCCAAATTAGGACGAATAATCCATTTGTAAGTATTGATGCGATACAATTCGTCTCATTTCCTTTAAATTCTTTATGTTCACACTGTTTGCCATATCGCTATCGTATCTACCGTACACCACCATTTCCGGAAGGTTTCAGGTCAACGACAAACTATAACATAATTGATAGGTATTTTATTCTGATGCTTTAACTTTATGAATAGCCAAGATAATTTATATTTTAATTGAATTTTGATACCATTTATGATTAGGTAGAAAGTCACAGAGAGATTCATCTTCTGAAGTTTACCCACAGATATTTGCAAAATCAAAAAAGGAGGAAAAATTCTTGCTTTAACTCGAATTAGGATATCTCAGGAATTTACGATATTATTCGTTGATCTTAAATGAGCAAAGAGTGTTTTTTGCTCTTTAAAATATTCCCATCATTTAATTGCAAATTTTCCACCGAAATTTAATTTATTAGCGGTGAAATATTTCGACTTATACGTTTACTTCTGCTTTTTAATTTCAGTACAGTTAGAGAAGGCATCACTTACACCTATTCAGTAGCTGTTGAAAGTGGAGGAATTGAAGGATTGCATTCACCAAGTACCACTTATTTCTACAACATGAATGTGTGTGGTGATGGCAAACGAAGTAGCGATGAGGAATGTGATGACGGGAATTTAAATGATGGCGATGGTTGTTCGCAGGATTGTCTCGTTGAGGAAAAATTTCATTGTGTTGAAGAAAACAAATGTACTATCTTTTTCACTTTTCTTTTTTTTTGTTTTGGTAAAAACTTAAAAGTTACGAGTCAGAAGTCGTCCACTTTTCAAATTTGAATTTAATGGATTGGAAGTAAAAAGTTAGGAAAGTTTCAATAAGACATAATATGACAATACAAACTAATGAAATAAAATGCATCCAACAAAATTCAAATCACTCGATTGCATATGGAACTGAAATCGTAGAAAACTTAACGTCATGCCCCCAGAAATGAAAACAATCATTGGATCAACTTTGCAAAGATACCCTACGATATTATGATTAGGAGGGATGAGTTTGAGAAGTAGAACAAGCAACTTTGTCCGTAGTAAATCATGTATGACGTGGAACACTTAAAAATAGCAGAAGATGTCGTAAAAGATTCAGCTATGTTTAACTGCATCTCAGAAAAGTTCTGTTATGAGTAAGGTAATAAAAGTTCAACAGATAATCTAATCGATCCTAGTAACTGATCATTTCTTAACTGTACTTTCTAGTATCTCCAAGTATTTGTTATATTTACGAGGGAGACGGTGAATGTGAACCATTTGAACGAGGTGGTTACAGTAGTGATTGCAAAAGTATCAGTGCATCAACACTTCATTCACAATATTATCCAACATTCGTTTATGCCTATTCGAAGATATTACAAAAGAATTGTTCATTGCAAATGCTTTCCTCTGCTATCCTGACTACAGTAAGTGCTTTTCTATAAAAACATTTCATCACTTTTCATGCAATACTGACGACCGTTATGATGTATCGGAATGGTCAATCATTATGATCCTGTCGATCAGGTAGTAATGATTGGCTATTATTTTTTGGTGTTTTACCGTATTTCAAGTGTTGTATGTACGATTTTCGATTTGAAAGAAATGTGAACTGGTATGTAGTTATCCAGAAATACTCGATTATGAGTAAGGTCAAAATGTTGCGTTTGAAAAGAATGTCGTAAAAGTCATCAACTAAAATGTCTTACACGCCCACTCACGGGACTGAAATCGTTGTAGTCCAGTGTAATTTAAATGACCTACTGCTTTTTTGTTACTTCCCACTTGTTTCCAGGGCTGTAATATCCGACCATCTGATTGGGGTACGTGTTCTCAACTTGCAGAAGCAGGTGAAATTTCACTGCATGCCTCATTTCCAAGTGAAATCTTCCCAACCAGCATCCTGATAGGTTTCGAGACAGTTCTGTCAACTGGATCAAAACCAGTTTTGTCTATTATTGGAATTAATTTACAATATGTTAACAAGACAACGATAAGCCTGGAAGGTGCACTATCTTTTATATTATCTTTATCGTCATATATTCAAATCGAAATCTCGAAGAAAGATAGTTTTTCAAACTTTCAGATCCGTCCAGTTAATAAGTAAGGAGGCAAATCATCGGTATGGATCGTTTGGGAGGAAAAAAATTGACGCTGTTAGCACTACACCATTCATTTACTTTTAAATAAATCATTATATTTACGATTTAAAGTTTTTTTCTTGCTTTGCATTGGTGCTTTGTTCAGAACAAGGAATTCTGTCATGTGCGCAGAATCCTTTGGAAGTTGCAATACCGTATACACTTGTTGGTCGATTGTCAAATGTGAAAACCGTTCATCTTCATGTGTCAAATCCATCTCAAATCGTTATCACTGCAATCACTCTGCGATCATTCAAGTTGTTTGACTTGTTGACTCTTCAAACTTGTGCAGGTAAATGTTAGTAATACTGCCGAAAAACTTTTGGCGACTTCTTCCTAACCCATTCAAGTTTTAGCCTTCTTTTGCTGAAAGATAAAAACAGAAAAACGAAGGCATATCTACCGAATTTATGGTACCAAAACTTTGAAACTGTTAATCATATCAACCATGTGAAGCAAAGATAGACTATTGCTTCCATTACAGCTGAAAACAAGTACTTCGATCCGGTAGGTGGTTTCTGCGTGGCAAAAGATTGCCGATCGTTGAGTACTAATTCATGTATACCATTAAATATCCCAAGGTCACGGGTTAGTAGAATTTATTTTCGGATTTTTTCCTTGTGTTCGCAATTTTCTCAAGTATTGCTAGTAACCGAAATGCAACAATTCAAATGTTGATATTTCTTCAATTTTTTTTTCACTTATCATTAATGCGATTCTTCATGATCATATTTTCATTTATTTTGTTTGTCTTTTTCAGCACGAATGTCACAGTACAGCATGTACGTATACATGCGAAACCGGATTTATGTTTGAAAATTCGCAAAAAACCGCAATAGTCCAATGCTTGAACGGTCACTGGGTCGGAATTGTGAATTTAGCCTGCCAACCGACTCACTGTGCCATTCCGAAAATTGAGCATGCTGACGTTGATTGTCCAAACGGGACACGTTATCGTGATCGCTGTATATTTCGGTGTAGAAATAATGCAATAATGATTGGTATTTCAAAACATTAAAAAATTATAGAAAACTCATTGTTTCTCTAACGGCAAATTGTAATTAACGAGAGTTTCGTGGGAATTACGAGGTTCTCAGATGGCAGATGTAGAAGGAAGTTACATCGAAATTTTCCTTGACATAAATTTTTGGTTGTATACTTTTATAGGACAAATAAATTATATCACTTGCGAAGAAAATGGTTTATGGAAAGTGCCAGAAGCATTTTGTCAGGTATACAAAATTTGAGAATTATCTAATCATTCAATGGAACGCTTCATTCGATGATATTGAAATACTACGTCAGATAAACTGTCAGACAAACTTTTTCGCTTAATCTGCTCGTTCGCTACCACTCCATATGATTTGCGCAGTTACCGTCTGTCTTGTAAAATCTTATAAATTTCAGGTTGTTTGTCCACATGAAGGATTATTGACGCGTAATATTTCCTATGATTCAATCAACTGCAAAGTGAAACGTATTTATGACACGCAGACTTCTTATCCAGTATCCACTGTATGCAAATTAAATTGTCGTCGACATTATCGTGCATCACATATGCAATCACTGCATACTAAGTAATATCTGAATTAGAATCCTTCATGGAGTTTTATTGTCAGTACTTCTTTCTAATTGATGGACCGAATCACACTTTTTGTTGATACCATATACCTTCACTTCATCGAGTAGTTTAAAGTAAACTGATAGTTTGGATTCGCAGCGCTGAAATGTAATGGAATGGACTTCTGCTATCAAAAGTTACCAACTTTTTTCCACAGGATTCGTTTGATTTGTTCGGATGACGGTGTTTGGATTGGTCCAACCTGCATATCAATTACATGTCCTTCACCAAAGATCGTATATATCGGATCGTATAACTGTACAAACGGTTTCGAGATTGGTTCCAGTTGTCGGATTCAGTGTCCTGGAACAACTCAGGTTTTTTCTTATTTGCGAGGTCTTTGTCGCGAATTCCGATTCGCGAGACTCTAACCATACAAATATATAATCAAACAAATTTCTTATTGTAAATGAATATATCCAATGTTATTTACTTAATTCTACATTCCTTAGATTTATTTCCATGGTTTTCCGATCTTTATCTCAATTCCCATCTTTGTCCGGACGCATCTTTATTTTAAGGAAAAAGAATGTCCAATCTGCATGCTAATCTTCCCTGTTCTTGTTACAATGCTTACT